CATCTAAGAAGCAATAGAAGGCATGCTTTGATAACCTTTCCAACATTTGATCGATGAAAGGGAGAGGGAAGTGATCTTTCTTTGTATTTTTATTCAACTTCCTATAATCGATGCACATTCTCCACCCGGTCACAGTTTGGGTGGAGATGTCCTCTCCCTTCTCATTCTTGATTATGGTCATGCCACCTTTCTTAGGAACTACGTGAACCGGGCTTACCCATTTTCTATTGGAGATAGCATAGATAATCCCCACTTCACGTAGTTTTAAAATATCCTTTTTTACTACCTCTTTAAGGTTGGGATTCAACCTTATTTGAGGCTCAATGGAGGTGGCATCATCATTCTGAAGATGGATTCGATGCATGCACAACGAAGGGCTAATACCCTTAATATCATCAATGCTATGCCCTATCACATTTCTATATTTTCTCAAAACAACAAGCAATTTTTCCAAATCAAGCCCATCAAGGGTAGCATTGACAATAATAGGGTATTCCCCTTCATTTCCAAGATAAGCATATTTCAAAGAAGGGGGAAGGGGTTTGAGTTCTACCTTGGGAGGAGGCTTAGAACTCTCCTCCAATTTCTCCTCTTCTAGAGCTAGCTCATCATGCTTAGGATCGTTCTCTTCCTCTCTTTTGGCTTCTTCAATGGTCATGACAAACTCCTTTGCTTCTTGAGAGTAGTACTCTTCCTCGCATGTAAGAGCTTCAACCATTGGATCTTGAGGACTCATCATAACCCTTCCCAAACGATCTAACTCCTCACTCACCACATCAACCCTATAACACTTCTCAACCATGGGGGTCTTGAGTAGCTTAGAGAATTCAAAAACAATCTTTTCATCGGCTACTTCACAAGTAATGGTATTGTTTTTGCAATTAATGACGGCCCCCAATGTCTTCAATGTCTCCCTTCCAAGAATCAAAGGAGTGTTCTTATCCTCCTCCATATCCATCACAACAAAATCACAAGGTACATAAATGTGTCCCACTTGAATGGGGACTTCTTCAATTTCTCCGCAAGGCAACTTAACCGATCGGTCGGCTAGTTGAATGGTCTTTCTTGTGGGTATCATCTCGATATTCAATTGTTGAGCAATGGATAATGGGATTAGGCTAACACTAGCCCCAAGGTCGGCTAGAGCTCCTTTGGCTTCCAAGTTGCCAATCTTGACCGGCAATGTGAAACTTCCGGGGTCTCTTTGCTTCTTTGGCATCTTATGTTGAACAAGCGCACTCACTTGATGTGGAAGCGTAATAAATTCATCTTTGAGCTTCCTTTTGTTCGATAGGATATCTTTGAGGAACTTCGCATAAGATGGCATTTGCGTCACCACTTCAAGGAAAGGTAGGTTGATGTGTAACCCTTTCATCACATCAAGAAATTTTGCAAATTTGTCATTCAATTTTCGCTCCGCAACCCTCCCGGGATAAGGTACCGGATTCTCATACTTTCTAGTGTCAATGGGGTCCTTACCCTTGGACTTCTTGTCTCCAACTTCTTTCTCAACATTTACCTCCTCATTTCCCTTCTTATCTTCCCCTTATTTCTCTTCCTCCTCACTCCCTTTTGGGCCTTCATAAGAAGCACCCGATCTCAAGGTGATCGCCTTGCATGTGTCGGGTTGTTTGAGGTTGTGAGATGGGTTTGTGTTTGGTTGTCCGGGTAGTTTAGAAGAAGAGTTTAAGGATGAATTTTCGGCCACTTGAGCTAATTGAGAATCAACTATCTTGTTGTGAGCCTTAAGCTCTTGGATTTGTTGATTCATGGCTTGGAGTTGTTGGAGAATTTGGGTTTGTGTTGAGTCGGGTTGTGATTGTGTTTGCTCTTGATGTTTTTGTGGGTATTGGGTTTGATTTTGGTAGTTATATTGGTTTTGGTAAGGTCTTTAGTAGTATCCTCTTCGGTTTTGGTTTTGTGGTGGGTTTGTTGGTTGCGGATTGAAGGGAGGCTCAACATGTTGTTGAGGTTGATTATTGAAGCCCGGTGGTGGTTGCCTCCAAGCTAATCCACTATTGTTCCCCCTATAACCATCTTGTCTAGTATTGTAAGCATTAATGTGTTTGGGACTCAAACCCCCACAATAAGAGGTATCATGGTTTGTTCCACAACAAATTTCACATGAGAAGGCATTGACTTGGGAGGAGCTCGAACCGGCATTTCCACCCACATTTAGTTTTTGCAACCCCTTGTTCAAAAGATCGATTTGATGTTGGAGTTGATCAACTTTTTCCAATTCATATCTTCCTCCCTTTTTTGCTTGAGGCTTCCTTCGGCCTCCCCATGAGTAATTCTTTGCAACTTCTTCTATTGTGGCTTCAACTTGATTTTGAGGGATTTTAATCAATTGCCCTCAGGCTCCCGCATCTAGGTTGGCTCTAGACATCGGCTCTAGACCATCGTAGAAGAATCTCATAAGCAAACTTTGGTTGTATTCATGGTGTGGGCATGCTTGAACTAATTCCTTAAATCTCTCCCAAGCTTCTCCCAAAGTTTCATCCGAATCTTGCTCAAAGGAGGCTATCTTCCTTCTCATCTCGGCGGTTGTCTTTTCGGAGATGAATCTCTTCAAGAAGGCCTTCACAACCTCCTTCAATGTAGTGAGAGAATTAGGCTTGACATATTTGAGCCACTTCTTTGCCCTTACCGTAAGGGATTGTCGGAAAAGATGCATTCGTATATAATCTTGGCTCACTTGATTTGTTTGTATCATAGCACATAGTTCAAGGAATCGATCAAGATGCTCTATTGGGTCCTCACTTGGGGATCCGGAAAATTGCTCAGATTGTACCATCCTTGTGTATTGAGGATGGATGGTGAAGTTTGTCTCGGTAATAGGCAACAAGATGCCTCCGGTGAGCTCATATCCCTCCGGATTCCCAAATTCTCGAAATAAAGAAAGGTCATTCTCTTGCTCATGCTCTGCCATATCGGTAGTAGCTTCACTAGCAAAGGGAGAAGAATCACTATCACAATCAAGTATCGAACCAAACCCTCTGTTAAATTCGTTAAAAAGTCTTCTAACTTGTCTCAAGGTGCGTTCGAGTTCGTGATCAAGTGGATATGTAAGTGGTCCCTGTGATCTCCTTTTCATTCGACTAAGCTAAACACACGATTAGCACTGACAATCACAATCAAATGACTCAAAGTAAAAGAAAATAAGACTCTAAAGCAACACAAATTAGACCGTCTCCCCGGCAACGGCGCCCAAATTTGATGAGGAATGGAATGTCGTCGTTAATACACTTTTCCTATCAAATTAATCCTAGTTTACCTAAACGAGTATAAAGGCAAGCAAGGGTCGAATCCACGAAGAAACGGGAAATTGTGAAGCTAAGTGCTAACGAAAGAGGCTTGAAAAGGGTGTATATGAATAAGAGTGGAGTAAAACCAGGCAACAAACAACTAAGGCTAACAAAATTACTCTAACAATTAACAGAGACTAACAAGGATTAGAAACTATGAGATTAAAAACGCTAGGGGGATCGGGGAACATCAAACTTGGAGATTAAGAGCTAAACACATAGATAATCAAGGATTCACAACCAAGGGATCAAAGATCTTACTTAACACAACTCATTCCCATGCAATTGATTAAGCAATGTATAAACTACGGTCTATCCTAACATGATCACTCCCGCGCATCAATTAGGACATGTAATAATATGGTCAATGGTGCACAACATCAACCATACAACAATAAGCACAAGTTCATACAACAAGGGTTTAAATCCCCAAAAATCAAGTATTTAATCGAATAGCAACCAAGTCATCCATTCCCCTTCCTTTAGCTAAAGTTTAGCCTAGGAGAGAGAAACTACCCATATCAACAATACCCAAATATTGGCCATAATCAAAGTCATAAACATAACTATCAATAATACTTGAAATATTTAAATAAACCAAAATAAAAGAGATTAAGATAGTAACAGCTCACAAAGCTTCAACTTTGTATTGAAATAAGAAAATGGGTCTTTGAACCTTCAATGGTGAACCACCAAAAAATCCAATAGAATGCTCCGATCTTGATTACAAGGATGATCAAAGCACTAGTCTAGATTAAAGACTAAAGTTTTGATGATAAAAAACTAATAATCTAAACTTTCTCTCTCTAGAAACTTATAAGAGCATTAATGGAGGCTATTCTCTCTTTAGAAATGTTCTAAGCACTTTGCCCTAAATGGAATAGCTGCCCTCTTCATTCCCCAAATCAGCATTTAAATAGGAAATAAAACGGGCTGGCCTGACGGACGTGCGCACCCTCTACTTCGATCTGCGCGCCCGCGCAGACTACTGTGCGCGCCCTCTACAGGGCGCGATTGCCATCTACAGAAAGTTTTTTTGATTTTTCAAGCCAAGCTGCGCGCCCTTTCCAGTCATCTTCGCGCCCGCGCAGGTTAGTGTGCGCGCCCTTTACATGGCGCGCGAGGCATTTACAGGGGACACAACTCTGATTTCATCTCGATTGCGCGCCCTCTCTCTTGAATTGCGCACCCGCGCAGAGTGGGAGAGAGGGCTCTCCTGGGTACAGCCTGATCAGATGCTCCTCACTTGATTTACTCATAAAACCAGCTCTCGAAACTATCCCGAACTTTCCTCTACTTCACGTATCGATCGGTTTACCTGCAAAACACAGGAAAACACCCAAAAACAGTACAAAAAGGTAAAGTAGAGGGGAAGTACGAGGGAAATGGCAATGTTGTGCAATATATGGGGAAGCGCGGCAAAATAGGGCTAAACAAACGTTAAATGGAGGGAAATGGTAAGGAAATGAATCCCGAATAGTTGCATAAATGGCCCTTATCAAAATTCGAACCCAGAAGAATTGAAACCCAGAAAATTTCAAACCCAGATTATATACTCCTTTGTGTATTATTTGACATAAACCCGAAAAAATTAAAACCAAACCATTCACCGGCATAAACACAAAAACAAAATTCAATTAACACAAACCCTAAACACAAAGACACCAGAGATTCGAGCAAATTGAGGTATACCTTAAAAGATCCGAGGAAATTTGTGACATGCAAGAGTCGAGCAATCAGCCACCACCACCGCTACCGTCAGCACCTTCCTTTGCCTGATCTACTTGTGAACAAAGCTGGGCAAATCGTGAATTGGGAAAAAAATGTGAATTTGTGAACAAAGCTGGGCGAAATTAAATGTAAAGAAGAATGATTCGTGAAAGCAGAGCTAAAAATGGTTAACGGTGAAGACTGATTGAAGGGCGTTAACGGTGAAAGCAGAGCTCAAAATGAGAATTAGGGAAGAATATGGATGGCCTGTGTATCGCGCGTAGGGAGAGGAATATTTGGGGGAAAATGAGGAGGGAAGTTAATAAATGAATATTTCGTTTTGGCACCTATATAAAAACAGTGCCGTTGCATTAGCCATTTTGCCGTTGGATTAGCCTAGGAGGGCGTAGGATTAGAATGTGCCGTTGGATTAGCCAAAATGAGTCGTTGGATTAGTTGGCCTAATGCAACGGTTTTTTAAAACTGTTGTATTAGCCCACTTTTTGATATAATTAACATGATGTCGTTGTATTAGCCTTGTCTAATACAACGGTAATAGATGAGCCGTTGTATTAGCTCTGTCTTTACCGTTGCATTAGGTAAAAAATGTAGTAGTGTCATATTTATAGCTTTCTTGAGGTTGACCCAAGGCTTGGTGTACTCAACTCATTGTGTGACTCAATGTACTCAAATCGGCTCGATATTCTTTGACACGTGTGTGCAGACTCAACTCGATTTGATATGACTTGATGTGTATATCGTACGTACGCCTCGTGTGTGTACACTCAACTCGATTTGATGATAACGTCTTTCTCCCGAAAATAAAAAAGACATGAAAATGAATAAAGGTAGAATGTTGTTGAAAGATGAAGTCTCTAAAATTCCTCAAGATTAAAAGAATGAATCAAGCAATGGTTACATGTTGAATGAGCTTAATCAAGTGTATGAGTTGATGTTGTATCTCATGGTGCAAAGTTTGATGATTCGATAATGAAAGTATTTGGATAACTTAGGCGCGGAGGCTAAGTACTTCATACTTTATGATGCAATGATGATTATGATAATGAGTGATTCAAAGATGACAAGGTATGCTTCAAGGTTGTATCAAGATTTCATGACAAAGGGTTCCTAAGGGAAGGATGATTTGGCTATGTATTTGTGATGTGTGTGAGAGTGATACTAAGGTTAGGCTGCAAAGGCTAAGGGTGTGGAAAAATATTTTGAGAAGAGCCAAATGTGGAAAAATATTTATATTACGGTTGCACCCCAATGTGAGGTTGCCTACGTATCCGTTAGGAATCAGGCCGAACGTAGCTCTAGCCAAACGTCGCACAAGTGTGTGTACACCTCAAGGTGGTCTTTCAAGTGTTTTAATGGGGTTAGACTAAAGCTTGAAGAAGAAAGGATGAAGGTTTAAGACCCAAAATAAGCCCCCAAGGTTTGCAACCTTGCGTTTGAATTTTAGTATTTGTGCGCTTAAGGTTTCTCACTTTGAACTCTCTATTGTTTTTTTTTTTGCATTTAAAATTTGTATTTGAATTTTCTTTGGATGAGTGTTGGAAATCCTGATCGTGCGGTCTATCACTCACTTGGCATTCATGTTTCTCAGGCATGGTGCCGAGCACTTGATAAGAGACGCAATCCGAGACATGTTCATATCAAAGACATTGGAAAACTTGCCCTTTTGTACACTTTTATTGTTTTTTTTTTAACCTTTTGAAATTTTGGTAAAAATCACTCAAGCTTTTGCTTTGAAAATTACATAAGTTGCACACCATCTCATCCCAAGGTTAGGTGGATATAGGTTGAAAAATAAAGGTCAATCGTTAGACGAGGCTCAAAGTGGTTTATCAAGAGAGGTTGTATATTCAAAAGGGGGTAAAGGTAATATGATGTGGTTACAAGGGGTGCCTCAAATCATTGGTATACTTAATGTTTAGTTCAGCATGGATTTTTTTTATTTTTTATTTTTGAAATGCAATGATTATATGCAAGAAAATAAATTCTCATATTATTGAAATGAAAAGGGTTAAAAAAAATAAAAATCAAACTTATGAATTAAATCTAGGAAAAAGATAGGGGTGCCTATGCTAGACTTATTGGGGAAAGGAAAACAAGAATAAGAAAAGAAACATAAAATCTTGTCGTTGAAACCCGTCTCGTGATTTGTGTTTTCCTTGACCAAAGGTTGTAAAAAAGGAAACCATGTATGTTTTTTTTTCAATCACATGACTCGAACTCGATTCAACATGCATAGATGGGGAAAGATCATATTGTATGTGGTGAAGGATATGTATGGGGAAAGCATGAAAGAGGAAAGTATGTGAATGTGAAAAGTGTTATAAGAAGGAAAGTGCAAGGTATGTAATGATGTAAAGGGAAAGAGTGTATTTGTGGAAAGACATGGAAAAATCCGGGAATAGAATTGACCCTTAACTCAAATGACGGAAAGGACGACTCATGCATGGACCTAAGACATGGTCAAGGTGTAAAAAAAGGTAAGTACAAAGTGTGTGAAGACTCGTGAGTGTAAGTGATATGTTCAAGACTCATGTAATGACCATGTGAATAGACATGAGAACGGTGTGAAAAAACGAAGGATTTAAGGACCAAATAGCCGGAAGACTAAAAGATAGACAAATTAACTAGATTAATTTTGTCTAATTTTAATGTTTGTGCTATTTACTAGGTGAAAGCAATCTATTGAAAAATGTTAGTCATAAATAAGATTAAACCACAATCAAAGACAAAGAACACATATTAAGGTTAGCACAATAATCACAAAACACTAGGAAGATGGACTAGAATTCTACAAAAGTGGACTCATGGGAATAAATAAAAATAAAAATCTACAATCCTATTTTATACAAGTTGAAACGGATTAGAGGACTAAGAAATAGAATATTGCCGAAGACTAGCTTGACACGAAAAGAAATAAAAAAAAAAAAAAAGGTTGGACGCTAAAAAAACTCCTACACTGGACAAGCTGTAGTATTTCAGTCATAACTTTTTATCTGTTACTCCGATTGGGACGAAACGAATTCCAAATGAAATGTAAAACTCTGGGCTACATATCCATAGGTGGCACGGCACGTAACTCTTTCTAGAACTCCAGATATTCCCAAAACAAGTTGACGCTTGTACAGTATACAGGTTTAAAAATCCAGTTTGACTCAAAATAAATAAATAAAATAATAATAATAAGGAAAAATTGCGAGGAAGGTCCTTTTAAGGATTTGACCTTGTGAGGAAGGTTATTTTATGAACAAAGTGGTGAGGAAGGTCCTTTTATGACGTTTGGGTTGCGTGGAAGGTCCTTTGACCAAACTCCGGCGTTGACTTCCGTTTTCCGGCAAAAAAAAAGTCACGTGCTGTGCACGTGACCTCTTAAATCTGATTTTTTTTTTTTCTTTTTTCCCTTTTCCTTCTCCTTATCATGCCACACATCGAACCACCTACTGCCCCTATTTTACACACCACCAACCGCACCACTGTTCTCAATCACCGCCGCTCCGCAACCAATTCACCATCTCCACCAAAACACCGAGCTGGTGCTACGCCCCCACACGACTCCAAGAACTGCAGCCCCTGCTCTACTGTGGACCACCTCAACCACCAATTTCCAATACCAAATCGAACCACCATTCATCATTTAACCGCCCAAATTACCACCCAAATCAACCATGAACCTCCAATTCACCGCATCCACCAACCATCATCACTACACCACCTCAACCGCAAGCCACCAACAGTAGCGCAAGAGCAGCAATCAGCCACTCAATAGCCAGCCCGCAACAACCCATCTTCGCAGCTGCAGCCACCCATTTCCATCTTCTTTCCCTCCACTCCACCGCACCTAGCAACCCACAAAATCGCAGCCTTCACTGAACGCCTGACCACCTGACAATGCATCAATCAAAACCTCCCAACACCGCACTAATTGCAGCTGCGATTCGGCCCTCAAAAGCCCCAATTTGGGTTCAATTTGAACCTTATCACGAGACTCGCACATGATTGTTAATGATGATAAACGGTGGTGATTGAAGATGAGAGGGAAAGGGAAGGAAAAGGGAAAAAAAGGAAGAAAAAAATCAGATTTAAGAGGTCACGTGCACAGCACGTGACTTTTTTTTTTGCCAGAAAACGGAAGTCAACGTCGGAGTTTGGTCAAAGGAACCTCCACGCAACCCAAACGTCATAAAAGGACCTTCCTCACCACTTTGTTCATAAAAGGACCTTCCTCACAAGGTCGACTCCTTAAAAGGACCTTCCTCGCAATTTTTCCTAATAATAATAATAATAATATTCTCGGCATTTTTCAGGCGTCCTTCAGTCAAGAGAAGTGATATCGGTGGCGTCTCTGGTTTCTGGTTGTTAGGATGCGGTTTCCAGGCAGAATTCAGGCGAAATTAAGGGGTTTTTTAAGGTGGAATTGGTGCGTTTTCAAGCGTGGTTTAGGCATTATTCTGCTGAGTTTTCCGGCGTGTTTCAGGGGTGTTTTCAGGCTACTATTGCGCGTGTTTTAGGCTGCAGTTTCTGGTACTATTTAGAGTGCTTTTGGGTGCGTTTCTGGTATAATTTCTGGCGTTTTTCTGGTCACTTTGCAGGTGTTTTGGCTCTGGTTTAGGTCTGGTTGTACTCTGGTTTTGGGTGGAGTTTTTGGTGCATTTTGGGTGGAGTTTTGGGTGGGTATCGGCGGCAGTTTCCAAGTCGTGTTCTGGTCAGTTTGAGGGCTTTTTGCTGCGTGATTTTCTTGCAGCAAGTAATTAGTCTTCTTTTGCTTTTGCTTGTGTTGTTAGGTGTTTGCGGTTTCTAGTCACTTTGAGGTTTGCGTTTCTAGTTTGTTCCGGCAGTTTGTGGGCAGCTTTGGGGTGTTTTTGGTGCAGTTTTGATGTGTATTTGGTGCTGGTTTTGGTGTTGTTTTGGTGCTGTTTTGGAGTGTATTTGGTGCTATTTGGGATTGTTTTTGGTGCTGGTTTTGGTGCAGTTTGGGTGTGTATTTGGTGCTGTTTTTGGTGCAGTTTTGGTGTTGATTTGGTGC